TAATGATCACTATCCTAGTCGACCTTCTTCTCTTTTCTTCCCTTTCCTCTGTCTATTGCTGAAATCCCCAACTTTCTCCTCTTCCTTTCACAAGAAGCTTGGCCGGAATCAGCACATAAGGCTTTCTACTATTATATAATCTTATGCTTCCAACGTATAAGTGGTAAACTCTATTGTATCAAGTACATATATGGTAAATATGGATTTAAGAGGGATAACTATAACTTCTCTATATATGTTTTAAGTTTTTAGCATATCCATTTTTAATTTGTTAACAAATTTATATAAAACAAAAACTATCTTGCAATTTACAGCACAATTTACAATTTGATTTGGTTCAACATTCTTCATGATTTTGGATAGGATTACAATTTTCAAACATTCCAAAATGAGTTTCCTCACCAGGAGTAGGAAACATAAGCAGATTATGTGACAAAGTATTTCTTTAAGAATCCATGCACAAAACAAACCATTAATTTGGCATTCTCTTTATATTCTATTCTTATCACAATTAGCAGATACGTTCTCCAACAAAGAAAGCTAGAAATTAAGATACCTTCATGATCTTATTCATTGCTTGAGCAAGAAGTGGTTTGGATCCAGGAAACCAGTTACCAAAAGCAGAATGCAAATTATAAGCCAAATCAAGACCAATCATGACACCTGCAAAACAAAACAAATAAATTCAATTAACCAAGTAACCAACCAAGTCATTCAACATAGAAATACAAGCTTGTATGGTAAAGGTAGTAAAGGAAAAAAAAATACCAGTTGGAGATGGATAAATAGACATATTGTCAGTTGTATAATCCATAAATTTAGCACGTGTATAACGCTCAATGTCATGTGAGTCATAGTCTCCCCATCGTAGTTGCACATCTATCCAATATTTATTGCTTGCTTTCTGATCAAAGATATCCTTTGATTCTGCCACTAAACTTGGTTTTGACATCGGCCATCTATGGGCAGCAAAGAGTAGAATATCAGCACAAGAACTGTTCATCTTGTAGCTCTTCCTTGGATGGATCGTCTCTTTCTGCACAGTCTCAATTTCCAGCGCATCCAACTCTTGATCCAAGACTTGACAGAGGTCCATAACAACACTCTCATGGATCTTTTGCCACAAATGAGCACGAAATATTTGGATTAGTGATATTTTCAGAGTTGGGATCTTCCCGTGCATGAATATTCCAGTCAAATCCAACTGAACTTGAAATCCCACATACACATTTGCACGGTTTATCGTAGGTGACCACCAAAGCGTAAACCTACGGTTTGGAATTTGGTTTAGCCCAGATCTTTGTGCATTTGTCAATTTCTTATACTTCATAGATTCTTCGAAACCAGATGCCTTCTCCCAAAAGAGACCTTCCCAAGTTGGAAAGCTGAAAATCAAAAATGTTGAGTCAACTTCTGACAATATTAAAAGGAAACTCTTTTGTATTTTAACAGTGACCTTACCGATAGGAAAAGAAAAGGCTTAAACAGTAGTACCCTTCTGTTAAAAAGACCTCCCAGCAAAAATGTCAAAAAAGAGACCAATCACTGAAGCAAGTGGCTTTAAAACCCCATTCCAGGGCCAGCTCCATATTCCAAATGGTTTAACCAATTGTGGAAGATGTAATACAATACATGCTACAAATCATTCTGAACGTAAGGATTTGAAATAGCTCAATGGTTAAACTTTTTTGAAAAAAAAACTTAAAGAGGCCTATTATGAGCTGAAGGTCATAGATATGTGTCACTTGGCAAGAAAACTGGCATAACTTATTAATTCAAAATAATATAAAAAGAAAGAGAAAATTGAGAGAGAGAGAGAGAACTTACTAGGTTCCCTTAAATAATGTATGCTCAAGAATTCCCTCAACTCCTCCAAGGGCTTGGATGACATCAGTTCGATAGTTATTCAAGTTCCACAACTTGCCATCATGACGTTGGTGTGTCCACCAAAAAGGGTTCTGTTTTAAAACCTGGTACTGCTTAAAATCTGTACGAACCCTCCATCCTTTATCATATGCCAAGGTATGCCGGTCCTTCTGAAACAAAGTATTGATCCGTGGTATACCCCTATCCCAAGAATCCTGTGGAAATAATTAAGAGAATCTTAGACAATTAATGAAAGAAATGTTAGGTATATAACAATAACAGGGATCAAAAAAGATGTTGAGCCAATAATTAGAATAAATTCAGTAAGCACATAACAATTACAATTATCAATAGAATCTGCCTAAACATGTCAACTCTACATCTGTATCATTGCATTCCATAAATCATTTATGGCCATAATTATACGTTCCAAAATCTTATGATTTTTTACATGACTTGTAATTTAAAACTGCTATGGACCCAAAGTTTTGAAAATCTCTCTCTGTGGTCATTACTTGGATATTGTAATTTGATTTGTGAATATTATGACTTCAGTGATTCATGTGATTTACGGTTTCAATTTTCAAAGCAAATTGCTTTGTTTGTAGCATTTACATGAATAAAAACTTGCTTGGATACTCAAAACCTATTTGAAGACTTACTATTTTGTTTCTACCGAAATATGATTTGAGAAAACATCATATGTGGTTAATTGAACTTGATTATATCATCTTATCTCTTATGGCTACAAGTGGCAAACTTTGTTCTAGTAATAACTTATATGATAGATATTGATTGCTAAAGTCAATAATATGATAGGTATTAATAGGTAAAATCTTTTTTCTATTTTCTCGAGTCAATAATATATGCATACACTCAATATGTATATGGCAAATTTCTAAAAGAACTATATTACAATTTTTTTAAGAAATACAAATATATTCAATTTAATCTGCTCCGCAATTTACGGATATAGATTATGTTTTTCACAACACTTGCTGCACTACATGTCCTAACAACAACCACTCCCTGAAGTTATAAAGCACCACCAACAGCATGGAGAATATATTTATTTTAAGAAAAGATTTTTGCCAACAGTTAACAAAATTGAACAACCAAAAGCGCACCTCCAAATCTTCAAGTGTTAAGCGCCTATTTTGTGACTGTGCTTCCTGCCTCTTCAATGCATATTCAGCCCAAACACGTTGTGAATCTATAAATTCACTCTCCCATGGCTGTTGAGAGACAAATAAGAAGATAATAACAATAATAACTTATCAAAAAAAAAAAAAAACAATAATACTACATTCAGCGGAAATACAAAAAACACAGTGGAAAGAGAAGTGGAATTAAACCTGTATGTAGCGATAAAGATTAGGAATGAGCTGGTCCTCTTCATGACTCATACCACTCCTGAAATGGGTCACACCAACATCTGTTTGTTGACTATATCGTAGATCACTTTGTGGAATTAATATGTGACCCATTGACAGCATGCCAAGCCCTCCAATTTCCTTAGGTGTGTAGAATATGACAGGTGGGAACCTGAGAGGGAAAATTGACTCAGAATTATAATATTTCATTAATTTACTTCATTTAAACTTACTGGTTGTGGGGTAACCAAAATGTTACCTGCTAGGCATTTTTGAATTTAATCCAATCTTGATACGGGTTTGAATTTTATTTTCACATTTAACAAGCAAATCTAACAACTCCTGGGTATGTACTGTAGCCTCACGGAAATATGTCATGAGACCTGTCATAAGGAAAAGAAAAATCATTCTAGTGTAATTATCAGACAGAGGTACATTTATATAAAATCTCAATAAAACATTAAGAACAATAAAAAGCAAATTATTTTCCCTTTTCGGTAATTTTTTTGATGGGATGGGGTATTACCTATAAGAGCTGTATTCCATTTGTTGACAATCTTTGTGAATGTTGTGGAACCCGATGACATAAGTATCTGCCTCACACGATTCTCAAAAACCTTCATATGTTCATCATCTACTCGTAAGAAAGCCACTGCAGTTCGCTCTTTGGTCTGCTCATTCTGCAAGTTCCAAACACCATCTCTTGTGTTGCTGAATGCCTCTTGACTCATTCTTATCTTTGGCAAAATCCGAACTTCAAACCCACACCTAAATGACAATAGTAGATTCATTTTTAAAATAATAAAACAGCTGAGAGCAGATTTGAAACTCACAAATGGATTATCTCAAAGAGAAACCAGATATTAGGATACTAAACTAAAACAAAGAAAGATCTTTATGGTGGGTCAGCGAAAGATCTTTTTAGTGCAGTTACCCCTTTTTCTTTTACTCTTTTCAAGGCAAAGGAAAGGTAATGTATCAATAAAGGGGGATAAAATACCACCCAGATTTACTTATTTTACAATGAGGGACTGTACAAATCGAATTACTGAAAAGTGATAACAGAAAAAGAATAAGTTTCGATATAAGATCACATGGAGAAGATATTCAGAATATCCCCAAAAACAGTTTATTCATTCACTCTTGATAAAGATGAAACTGGAAAACTAAAACGAAACAACCACTTGCAAGTCCACAATTGAAACTATGAAGTGGTGTTTTGGATTCAGCAATCACCAGGATAAGAATCCCAAGTTAAATCAGGTCAAAGTTGAAGGTCTGGCCAACACCCAGAACAAAGGTTTTGATCAAGACAAGAATAATATTAGTTTAACAGGGAAGCAGTTTCATTATGTATTGATATTACTTACATGCTGAAAAGCAAGTTTGGATTGTCCTTGCTGTAAACTGAAACAAAACTGTTCTCCCACTCCAGCGTTGTGATACTCCGAGGTAACCGATTCTTCATGTCCCAGAAAACACTTCTGCCAAGATTTACTGTGCAAGGACATAGCCATAGAACTCCATGTTAACTTTCAGGAAGATACCTAATTTGTAAACTTTCAGAATATACTTCTATTTTCTCAAAAAAATAATAAAAAGCATCATAAATTCAATTTCATGCAAGGGACCCAATGGAGTCATAATATAATGCAGAAAAGAGAGTTTTACCATCATGCTTCATAAGCCTCATTCTTGCATCTCTTGGCCAACATTTCTTATTGTTATACCCAACCATGTTCTCGTTGTTGGGGTCAGGATGTTCCGTAAGATACCGCTGAATAAGGTCCCGTGCCTCTTCATGAGTGAACCGGAATAATATATGTACCCTATCAATGTACCGTGAATACAATCGAATGGGATGTCGAGTTTCAACTTTGGTGTCCCAATATGTAATGAACTCATTGGGCATCTGAGGAGGTCCCGCAATTTCACTAGCTCGAGTCAAACCAAGAAGCAAGAGATCCAACACAAGGCCATAGTACTGCACAACAAATGAAGCAAACTGGAGACCTCGTATTAGACCATATGAATTGGTATGACTCATATCCTTGTAAGATAACACAACATTGTTTTTTGCAGTGACATAATCAGCAATGTTGTGATCAAGAACCAAACGGAGAAGCCTGCAAAAAGTAAGAGCCACAAAATCAACATTAACAAAGCATTACCCATCACTTAACTGTATAGCACTCAAGTGATTCATCACTTGAATGAATATTATCCAAGAAGAGGGATCAATTACCTGTTTAGCATTGTCAGATCAATCTTCTCAAAGAACTTCTCAAACTTTGTTTGAAGCATCACAACACATTGTCCTTCACTTGTATCCCATATACCTTGCAGATTGTTTATACCTTGACACCATTTATAGACTAAAAGCGGTGGTGGTTCTGAATCAGCAGGCTTAATCCAGTTGGGAAAGAGATGACGCTTGTCCCCTTCATACCACAGGTACTGGTCAAGGTATGCATCTGTTATCTTCTCAAGAGGTTCAATTTCATATACGGGAATCAGATAACTATACAAATCCATAAACTCAATCCCAACCTGTCATACAACAATGGGTCACATTAATACCAACAAGCAATAGGAAGTTGAAATCCTGCAATGTCATTCTTAATGTTAAAATAAATAAATAAAACACTTACTTCTTTGAAGGCTCTCTGTGTAAGCAGGTGACGTTTTATTCGTGATAGTGCTTCATGTGGATTGTCATATGCTTGTTCAATTAGTCCTAACTCTTCCCTTTGAAGTTGATTCAATCTCACCGCTACACTGTAAGATTCCTTAAGCCTCTCAAGTGCAAGGATAAGAAGTTTGGTATCATGTTTGTATGACAATGGAGGGAATGGAATTGGAGAGAATTTTCGTGACTCCAACCAATGCACAGTGGTTGTATATATAGCTACTGCCTCTTCTGGTGTAACATATGGACCATCTTTCAAATAATTGTGTTGTCGTTCCTAACAAAGACAAGAAATGTAAGGAAATGCCATATTGAAAAGCAAGTCAAGTGAAAAACGGAAAGAGAAAGGATCACCCTGTTAAATCCTTAGGAATGATGCTTCATCTGCAGTGCAATGACCACTAAAATAAAAAATAAATGGAAAATGACAGTAGAAGAAATAGATACCTGCTCTGCCTTCAACCACAAGCGAGTCAATCTTCCTAGATTCTTTCGACAAACAGTCTTGTCAACTGTTGCACCCCTTCTTATGCGTTCACGATTATAATGAGCAACATTTGTCCACCAATCTGCCTTTGACTTGACATAACGAAGTATCATGTTCTCAATGGGAACTGGCAGGCCAGGCACCTGAAATATTTCAACATGAGATTTAACTAAACCAAAATACAAAATGGGGTAGAAATTGATCATCCTCAAAAAAAATATACAATACCTTCCAAGGGATATTTGCTTTCCAACAGCGCCATGCTTCACTGAGATGCTGCAAGATAGTCCTAGCCTTGTTCTGCTTAATGCCCTCTGTAATGAAAATTCCAAAAGCTAAGAAGCTGTATGGAAGTAAATCATGACAATTACAAGATTAAAAAGAAAGTGGACAACTGTGGGCATGTACCATGAACATAGACTATTAAAGGTTCTCACCTGGCATTGCATCAAGTACATCATGCATAACAGCAGCCCGAAGTTCCAAGTCAAAATGACTCTCAACACGCTGCTTAGTGACAGTCTTTGCAACTCCTTTTGAATGGCGCCCTTCAAACTGTCTTGCAAGTAAATTTCCCAGCCACCTTTCCAACAAAGGCACAATACCTCGAAGGAAGAACAACCACACCCTCCACATTGGAGCCCAGAAACCACAGCCAGGCCCCTTTCCCACAGGACCAGTATTGAAGCGGTAATAAATCAAGTGCTTCAAGTCTTTACACATTCTGATCTGTCTCATGAGTCTGTATTTGTAACGGTACATACCAGTCAACTGCCCAACATGTGAAAATGTGTACTGCAAGCCATCTGCCAATTGGAATGCATCCACATTTCCCAAGCGGAACTGGATGTTGGCATCCACTACTAGCTTTGTCAAACGCAGGATTTCACGACATAGATGAAAAGCATTACCAAAGCGTGACTTCTTCCGCTCCTTTGTAGTGAGAGTCTTCACAGGCTTCAGATTGAAGTTATAATCAAGGTGAAGGTAATTCAGATTCTTTCTATGTATCAACAAATTCAGCATGTTGTACCCTTGCTTACAAACTTGGAGACCAGCTTCAGCCCAGTCCAACTCTGTGGTTTGGAAAAACTTAGTAGCTTGAAGGGACCGGAACAAGTGTTTCTTTTTCTGAGCCTTGGGTGGTCTGTGATGCAGTTCATTCAACACAAAACACTTCAACAGTTTCTGGTAGCTGACGCGAACTTTAACTGGATATGATGGAGGGCTGTAAGTGAACGACAACAAGATATTAGAGAATCAGAAGCATGTGTCAGAGAAGAACGGGAGCAAGAAGAAGAGAAGTTGAGGAAAGAGTACCAATGCTCCTTGTACCACTCTGACACGAGAGGTATGTCTTCAGCCCTTCGCATGCGACCAGATCTCATGTTAAAGGGGCGAGGAGCAAACAACAATGAAATACCAGCAGCTGTGGTGTCGGTATAAAGTTGAGTGTTCTGCAATAAAGGTTCCACACCTTCTGGCAGGAAAAATTCATCATCGTCTTCTTCTTCATAAACTTTCTTCTCGCGCCGGTCTTTGTTAGTGGAGGATATAGGATGTATTAAGGGATCATAATAGAATGCAGGTAAATCAGGATCCTCGGTTTTTATATACATTACCATGGGAGTATGATATATACCAAGCTTTACTTTCCTGGGTCTGTTGTTATAAAGATGAGGAAATGCAATTCTGTACTCAGTTCTAAGAGGTGAACGGATAATGAGTTTATTGATGTCATTGAATTCATTCCAGTCCTCATCCCCTTTCTCCATGTCACGGTACAAGGGCTCAAACTTGGGGCCACCTGTAACAAACAATGAAGGAAAGGCTTAAATCTCATACAAGACAGAGGAGCACATATTAGAGCACAAGTATCGAATTTAACAGTCATAACACCTAGATGTGCAATCCATTATCCACAAACTAAAGACCAATAAACCAATATGTAACAGACCCACAAGGTTGGAACAGGGTTGAACACCATTCAACAACACCACCTAGGAAAATATATGCCAATAGAATATCACATCTAAGTCCAGACCCACATTTTTCACTGTGAAAATATATGCAGACAATACTAAGAAAAAGGTCCATATGATGGATAGTATGAAATCCCAAATTTCCAATCTAATATGTTGACCATAAAATCCAGTATTATGGAATTGGGTAGATGTTAAATTTTTTTGAAGGCAAAGTAAGACCTATTTATTGGAAAGGCAGCAGAGTACAACAACAGAACAACCAGCGGGACAACCCTATAACATAGTGAAGAGCTGTTTTGCTCCCCCAAAACTCAAAATAGCACCTCAACAAAAACAAGTGAATAGATCCCTTTAGTCTCTAAAGAATCTGCGCCCTACAAGGAAATCCCATACATCACTCTTTAAATGTTTGTTTATGTGGGTCCAAGATCCAATTCTTCCCACCACCATTCTCAGCACCTCTGGTTCAATTTTTTTCTTTTATCTTCCTATAAGGTTTAATTCTCGAAAATTCTGTTACATTCAATTCTAATATACCAGGCATATCCCAGTGAAAAGGCCAAGAAAACTTTCTTTATCACAAAATTTGATACACAAGGGTAATTTTGACCATCAACTATGTGATATGCAATAATACAAAATGGAAGTACCCAAGTCACTACACATAGAATTGAACTCCAAGTCGGGACTCATAGGGTTGTCAGCTTCCACCCATTGCACATATTCCATATCTACAAGTAATTGGTAATATTATCTTTGCAACCCACCTGATACGTATATCCATGTTAACCATATTCTTCTGAATATATTTAAGTATTGATGCTAGAGCTCCTATTCTTGAATGTAAACGCATCTTTCGTTAATCAATATTAACAACATAGATGTTTTAGCTCATAGTACTCCCAAATAACCCAACACTCCAGACGGATGGAGATATGATTATTTGTTTTACATTTCAACTTAGAAAAAATACTTTCTTAAAATACAACATTCAAGACCCAAATCATGATCTCAAAGCCTGTAAGATGTTAAAATCAATAATTACTCTGAGCCAATGACCTTGTTGTGAAGAAGAATCACATCCCTAAAGCTAAATGATGATACAAAGACACCATCACCAAGGAAAGAAAGAAGCATACCAGGTATGCACATGTTCAAAGCTTTGGCAGTGAAGAATGACTCCATATCAAACAAGTAAAAATAGTTTCGGTCAATCAAATCAGAAAGTAGCTGCCCAGCAAGTCGATGAAGAGTTGCCATGATTGGAAGAGAAAGATTCCATCTCCTATAGCTAGGACCATTGATAAGCTTTGTTTTTACTAGAGGTTTATGATCATAGAACCAAGTATATACAGCAGAATCTTCTTCTTCATCCAACTCCAGTTGTATTGGCTCCAAAGGGTCCACATCTAATAGATTGTCTGCATAATCCAATGGAGGCTCCTCATCATCAAATGGTGGAAATCGCATTCTCTTGAAGTGCCGACGATCCCTTTTCTCCCTTCGCATCATGATCCACATTGTTCCCCACTGTAAAGTTTGTTTAAGTGTAAATCAAATAACAAAATAGTAACAGATACACCATAAACAATGAAGAGGGAAAAAATCACATATGTACTTGCAAACAAATAACATTCTTGTAGACCAATTTGCTAATTGTGGCACTTACATAACAAGATCACATGATGTTGCTGCATCAGTTAAATAAGATATTAAAGGCTGTCCTTTTATGCCTTTGATCTCTTCTACCAACTAAACTTCCAAGGAATGAGAAAATTTTGAGAGAGGATGAGAAAGATTAATATACCTGAGCTAAATATATAGGCTCGACAACCCAAGGTATTTCATTGACAAATGTAATTGCTCCTGTTATGTGATATAAAACCTTCACATCACGGACCTATAAACACAAAAAATATCATTACATAACTTAAATGAACAAAAGCAATAAAATCCAGTCAAATAAAACAACAGAATATTCAGAGAGGCATCAAATAAATACCTGTTCCCAAGGCATAGGCATGTTTTCAAGAAGCTTGTACACTGCATGTGGAACAAATTTAAGAGCTCCAAGATAGACGCGTTTGTCATGACGATATTTCTTTGAGGACATGTCTCCATGGTCTCTGCAAATCAAATACCAAAATAATAAACCTGTGATATTTGAAGTAACCAACCATAGTAATCATACCAAATTACACATTTGTTCATGTATAAACAACTACTACCGAGGTGATATGTTGGAAACATAGTTACTAATAGAAAAAGGCTACACTGAATGAGGATACACCCTAATCTGTGTAACAGGGACAACAACACCAGCATTCTGTATGGACATGAGGTGTCTGACATATTGACTGCTGAAAATTTTGAACTGGAATAAATACTGTGAAGTGTTAAAACTTTGTACATGGAACATGATACAGCCAAAAATGAAAATAATTCAGAAATTGAGAGTCATGGCTACAAAAAAAAAGGAAAAAGAATAAATAACTTGTAAACATAGCAGGGATCATCGTTTTATTAGTTTTTTAAGATGGTTCTCTATTTCTTTTTTTATCAATGGTTCTTTATTTCTTGTGTTCTTTTCCTTGTGATCTATTTCAACTTGGCTAATACGATTATTCCCCAGATGAGAATGATCACAGTGCTTAAAATGAACCCTTAGTCACTGTGCAGCAGTATCAGAATTTCCGAAAATAAGCAAAATTCCGTACATGTACGAAAAGTTGTCATGAATTGCTAAAAAAAAGTCATTGCCAGTGTCCTAAAATCAATACCTCATTCAGGGAAATGCTCAGTTCAGTTTGCTGATGACTTTTACATTCTTAACTTCTATGGAATTTCAGAATAATGACATAAAATGGATTTTCAGGATAGAATGACTTTCACTAACTAGGGAGTAGGGATTTAGGGTGGCACCATAACGTCAACAACATGCTACTTGTTTGAACTTTCAAGAAGTATAACTGCTTAATGCAACCGCTATGGATCAGGTGAGGATGCTCCCACCATCCAGGTAAGATCTCCAGTATGAATTTATTTAGTATCAATGTCTGCGGAATTCAAAAGAATTCTCATAAACCACTTCATTCGAGTGCCTTTCTATTTATTTACTTACTAAACAGAATGTTTTTTCATATTTGTTTAACCAAAAAAAACGGAGGAAATTTTTCACCCCTCGCATCTCCATGGTAAATCAAACCACGACGATGAATAAGAAAGACAAAAAAAATTACAAAGCATTTTCTTTAACCGAGCCCAAAGATAAGTAGATAACTCACCTTATGATCTTCCTGACATGCTCAGGGGGCATGTCCTCCTTTTGCGTCTCCACAAATCCAAACTTCCTCTTGTCGCCATAACGCTTCGAATTCAACTGCATCCACTTGCGCGCCTTCTCTTCAAGACGCGCCTCTGCCTCCGCGGCAGAAAGCGGAATGCTGTAAGACGGTTGCATCGGCGGGGGAGGAGGAATGGAAGAACCACCGGTCCCGGGAGGTACCATCTGTGCAGACGAGTTGCTCGCTCCTCCGTTATTCCACATCTCTTCTGTACTATGCAAACCCTAATACAAGCGAGAAGCAGTGCTCCGATAACTGTCCTCCGTGACCTTTCAGCAACTATGTGCGTTGCACGTCTTCAGACCTAAAACAGCACCCCGCAATCCGTAAGATTCTTCTTCTGCGGCAGCTTCTTGTGCAGATATTCTAAAGAGTTCGAATGGCGGTTAGGGTTTTCAGTGGTTCTGGTCAGTGACGGGGGAAGCCGGATCTCATCCCCTGATAGAGTCTGTAGTCTGTAAGAGACTGTACAGAGAAATGAGGGTTTTTTTTCCCTTTACCGGGCACGGAACCGGGGACAGAAAAAAAAGATTGTGGATATTGATCTGGGTCGGGCTTTATAGTTTATACACGCTTCGATAGCGGTTTCTGTGTATGGCGGTCGCACCGCTCAGCATTGCGGCTCTCCAAAGCCCAAACCGCCTTCGCTGAATGGGCTGATCAATTGATCATGGGACGTGCCGGGCCGGGCTTCGGGACCTATTGTTTAAATATATTATGGGTCCGTTTGGTTTGCAGTCGGAGTGGAATCAGAATCAGAATCGACCATTCTACTAGAAATAACCAAATGTTTGAAATCGGATTTTCATGTAAACCAAATGGACCTTGTACTTGATGATTCTACCATATCGGAAAGACATGATACCGAAAAAAACTTTGGGAGAAAGACGGTTCAGCCCAGGGTCAGAAGTTTTAAGGCCTAAAGTATGGTTGGGGTGGGTGTCAGCTCAGAATTGATGTCAATTCATGGGCCAGGCAGGCATTGATGTATGGAATAGGGATTTTTGATATTTTGAATATTTATTGGTCTGCAGTGGAAATCAGAAATTTGGACTAGTTCTTACTTTTCTGAAAAAACTTATAATCAATCAACCTACATCATAAAAGTGGTAGGGACTTTTGATTGGTCAAAACCATTCTAGTATTTACATGCATCATAGATTTTTTTATATTTAATATATATAACAGAAAAGTACGGACAGGCCCAATGCAGATTTCTGAGTTCTACTGCAAAGCTATAAAAATTCAAAATTTTTTATAAAAATTCAAGATGTGGTTTATAGGAGGGCTACAAATTCAATTTCTGAGGAAAATTGCAGTCCAAAAATCCCTATAAATTTATTGTAACCTTGTCTGACTTGATGTGTTTGGCCCGAGCTGTCTTCAAATTTCCTCAAAACGAAACCAAAGTTTTAAGTCCAAAAGCTTCAAAATGATCATCCTACTTAGTGACACAAGCGTAGTGTTGTCATTTGTCAATAGGTCAATTCTACTCGACAGAACTGAACTAATTGAGCCTACCTATCATGAGTTCTAGTTTTTGTATTTTTATTAATATATAATTAGATAAGAACTGGTTCTTGTTGTTTCAAACTGGACATTGAGTTAATACTATATAAAGGTTTACTAGTTTTCTTGTAACTTTTTTTATTATGTTTTATGTGTAAAATTGTAAATTTGATAGACAATGTACAGGATAACTTTGGTTAAAAATGCAATATACCCTTTTACTAGCATTTTTTACTATATTTTTGTGGATTGGAATGTTTTTACTTGTAGCTATTTATTTTTACCCTCTCTTTTGTTGTTGTTCTTGTTTGCTTGTATACTTTAATAATGCATGTTTGTTTCAATTTGAATGAATAATTTCTCTTCTTTTATTTTGCCTTTTTTCTCAAATTTTATAACCTTTATCTAATTGAACCTATTCCAATCAAATATAGATCTATGATTCTTTTGGCAAATTCGAGTGAACTAGTATTTCATTGATTTGTTGGATATGGAAATGAATCAAATATGGGATATCTTATCGAAATGAATTTATATGCCTATATCCAGATTCAATTCAATTCAATCCGTTCTCAGCCCTACCCCCCATTAGTTATATTGCATGCATGAGCTCTCCTAGTAGGCAAAACCCTCAAACAAGAGGACACGCATCATTGACTTAGTGGTTGAGATGGTCTCATGCCTCTACCTCCATTTAGGAGGTGTGTGATCAAACCTACATACATGTAGGCTCTCCATGATATGGCCAATGGCCCTCACACATGTCAATACATGTGTGAACACTTGAGCCAATTCAAGTATGTAAATTGTTCTCTTAGGCAAGACCTTATATAGATAAAGGCAAGGCCTTCATTTTCGGTGCATAAGCAATGTGTGACATGAAAAAGCACTCATCAATTGTAGCACTTAGTATTTAGTGTTGTTCCAAATCCCACATTGCTCAAGAATGAGAATGGAGGCCTTGCCTTCATCTATAAAATTAAATGAGGCCATGTCATTTTTTTTTGTGTAGGCCAAAAGCTTAACTAAGCCTTGTGCCATATTTTTTTGCATATATTATATTTTATTTAAAATAAAATTTTAAATTTTTATTATTGGATGTCATAGGCCCGAAAATCATGTAAGCTCAACCTGTATAGTGCTGGGCTTGGGCTTGCAAACAAGGCCTAGGGTGCGGGTTGGGCCCATGCTTAGGTTAAAGCAAACTTGTCATTAATGCTAAACTCAACTCGACTCAGCTCATGATCACCCATAGTAGAGACATAATTTATAGTGGCATATGAAGTACTTATATGAGCAAAAGAAATTATATGACTAGCTCTAGAGCTACTTGTACCTTGTTGTCCACCCAATAAAGAATTATAACTAGTTGTATATCTCTAACTCAAATATTTGCCATATCGCTCCAACTCGGCCCTAGTTATGGCTACTACAACCAGCTAAGAAAGCTGGTGTAAGAGGTCCAGACAAGTCATCTATCACTACGATATTAGCATTCCCTTATTATTTCTAAGATGAACTGGTATAAGACGTGGATGAAACTTTTAACAAGTGTCTATAGTATGTTTAAGCTTCGTACAATAATCATAGATCAAATCCTTATTGTCATCCTTTCTACTTTTACTACCACCATTATCCCCACCAAGCTTAGGTTTTACTTTGCTAACCATAGCTAACTATTGAATGCTTAGATTCCTTTATCATAACATTCCTTTTACTCTCTTCTCCAAACACAAAAGCATATACTTGAGAAAGAGTTATACTGTCACGGGAAAAAACATATTGTCATGCAATGTCATATTCAACATTGAGTCTTGACAAAAATTCAAACACCCTATTATTTTCTATTAGCTTCTAGTAAGTAGTTACATATTTATTATTCTCCCAAACCATAGTATTAAATGGTTTATCTCCTACCATAAGGTTTTAAGAGATAAAAAAATAAACTACAATAGGTGTATCTCCATGTCTTGTACCAATCACTTTATTTCTCAACTGGAAAGCCTTATCAACACTCTCACTATGTAAGTAGGTTACTCCAACTCCATTTCAAATTTCCTTAGTTGTGTTAACCCATAAAAAACTCTTGCTTATAAGGGGTAATATAATATTACACACCTAAGTCATCACCATATATTTCTCCTACACCCATTGGGAAGAGTTGGTCTCAAGTTTATTATCTTCACTGGTTACATACCCCAATTTTTCATAAGCACCAATTGTTATTTTGGCTGATTATAACCACTCCAAATAATTTGTACCATCTAACTTAACTATAATAATGGTACCTGCCCCAAAGGATCACTACCACTACCTACACATAGTCCAATTTCACTAGTAGATTTATGTTATACTCCACTACCTTCCATGGTTCCTATAACAATTTAAAACTTCAAAAGTAGGCAAGAAAAAAACTCTAAAAACAGATCAACCCCCATTGAAAACCTCAACAAAACTCATGGCAACAAAAAACCTTCACTTGGAGAGATTCATGTCTTCTTAGAAACCAACAAAACCAAGGATTAAAACTTTGTTATGTATCGGGGCATATCGACCGATACATATAGCAACGGGGCCCCTACACTAAGTGATTAGAGGTCCACCTATTTTAGGGGGTAGACATGTCTTAAACCAACCCCCCTAAACAAGTTTCAAAGAAAAAAAAAAACTAAAAAAATAAGGGTGAGCAATGATACACACCAATACGCAGTTTGGCATATTGGACTGTATAAATATTTTGAACCCTAAGTAGAACTAAGAGAAGAAGTTGTCGCTCCCTATAGAGGCCTCAAAAAATAAATAAAAACTGAACCACCTCCTTTAAAAAACACTAAGGAGTGCAACAAAACTTGAGTGCCTCTCCCTATGTCAAAAACAAAGAGTCATATTGTAATTATGATTATTCCCTTTTCTCTAGTTATTCCTAATTTCAATGATAAACCCAAGATTAGAGACACAGTTCTAGATCTATCAAAAAATCCATGAACTGGACCCTTTTGAAGTCTTTGATCAACTCTTTAACTCTCCATGCAGTTGGTCCATCTAGGGATGCATAGTAGAAACCCAAGAATCCTTAGAAAGTGCTCTAGTAGTACTACGTAGAATATTCAAAATAAATATTCTGATTTGCAATAAAAATAAAAGGGAAGAAAAAATGGTTTCTTGGAGATAAGAGGATAGAAGAATGAGAATAAGAGATGGGAGAAACCAAAAAATCAATTTGGTTGCCCCCACATGATAGCTTATATACTCATTAAACAAAAGAATGTGCAATGTCTAATATGCCCTTAATAGGGCAGTTGATTAATAACGGAAAAAGCAAACATAAAACCGTAGGCTTGAAGTGTGGACAAGACCTCCTATACCTTTTGTTGAAATTTAATTAATTATATCAAGGGTGATGAGGATTAAACATTAGACCACTTGGTCAAATAAGCTTTCGTACCATCTTAAGGAACCAATTAACCCTAAAGTTTAAGCTACTAGGTGAGGTCCCTAGATAGTTTTTTTTTTTCTTTAACAGTGCCCAGTTTAAATACTTCGCATTATAAAACAAATAGAATCTAGGTTGTGCTTAGTAAGAGGATGCAAAAGGCATATGTATTGATGTAAATGCAAAGTTGATCAAATTTTCTAGATAAAAAACTAATCATAAAGGCTTTTAGTTCAATAATACATGGTGTGGATTTCATTCTTAAAACAAACATAAATGTGATACCCTATAACAAATTAAAAAACAGCTTAAACTTACCATCATAGCGGGCTACAAACAAAGGTTATATTTGGTACCATTGTTATTTTTACTTGATACCTTTTTTGAGCCAATCAATACAAATCGATTAGAAATATGTGTTGTCACATCATATACAAACACCACTTCAAATAAAAAATGGATGTATGAGACCAATTGTAATATATCGAAAAAATAATTTATTTAATTAATTAGGGTTTGGGTGGTTATCTTCCCACCCTAGAGAGATTGGAATTTCTACTAAAATCAATCTAGGTAATTTATTTTCTTTGTTA